ATTCTTGCTATGGTTAAAAAAAGAGCTAATTGCGGCAAATCTATTACAACTTGAGAAATTTTTTGGTTGTTGTTTAAGCTCCCAACTGTCCTTCCACTTCCAATATTGCTTTTTGCAACAAAAACTTCTGTTGACTAGAGAGAGGGAGAGACAATTTGGAACGTACATCAAGAATTGCAATCAGAGTCAAATTACGCTCTACGTGACCATCTTTATCGCGTTTCAACGAGGCGAATCGAGGCTTCAATAAAACCATAGAAAACAAGGAAATCTTCATCAGTGCTACCATTGAGTAGCTATTGAAAAGAAATGTGCTTTCTAGCCATAATGGATAGTTCGACATTCGCGGAAGTATTCATAAAAACTCACTGAAATTCTTGATGCCTCTTGCAAGTGGTCCGACATTCAAAGAGTACGATTTGTCGTTGTCATCTTTTTGCTTTGTGATTGGGTGCGATTGAACATCAGAAAAAGTTAGGTTGGTTTTGAAGAAGAACCGAGGGAATGAGCTGAAAGCGGAGAATCATGAGAATTTTTGAATTTTTCTTTGCCAATATTTGATTTGACATCTCCATCTACACATTTTAGAGTTCTTAAGAAGCTTCATAATGCAGCTTTATTATTCCTTTGATTCAAAAAAACCATATACAGTTTACAACAGCAATTCAAGGGCTCATATTATGAATTGATTGCAAAGCAAAATTAGTTTTTACGTCGCCCTCCATCTCGAAGTTAAACCTTTGGTAATTTTTGAAAGTCAGTGTTTTAGAAGAAAAAACTCCATCTCCGCCAGAAAAGGTTTCGCCAATTGAATTAACTTTAGCCAGCATTTACATGTATATTTCCCAATTTGAAATGTCACCTCTACTTATGAGCCTTACGGATTGAGATTATTGTTCACTTCCTTCTTTTCACACCCTTAAACATCGAAAATGGTAAAAGATAGATTTAAATATTTCACCAATTACTCGAAGTGGGTAATATAATATCAACATAACCTATTATAATGAATAAAAGCTGTAACGACTCCCATAAGTTGAGAAACGAGATGGAAACATATTTCTGCC